ATGCTGTCACAACGGAATTGTGAAGCTCTTCTAACTTCTGCAACGTTCTGAAATCTTGTTAAGAACACCCAAACTCTTTTGCCGTTTCTTAATCTTGTCAAGTTCATGGAGTAAACTGAGAATTATATGAAACACAATCAAACCATACAACTCCATAAGACATAACAATTAAGCAACTCCCCAGAGACATGCAACATTTTTGGAACAAAACGTAACAAAATAGTAGCGTTGATACGGTGATGTGTATTTGCAAAAAGCAATATTATTTCCTTCAATAAAGAATGTTCATCCTGCTCTAACCGAGAAATAATCTACTCAGTCTGTTTGAACCCATTAAAAACATAAAAAAATTAGGCTATTTAAGAATACGAAAAATTTAAGCGCCTGCCTTCCATGGTCAGTCTTTCATGTGCATTTAAGTTTGCAAAGACCTAATATTAAATACTTGCATAATTTCGAACGTTCATATTTCAGGAAACAATGAGCTAAGACTTACATGTAAGATGTCTAAATCTACGCCATATCCCATACAAACCTTAACGATAATTCGCTGAAATACAAGTTAGCCTAATATGTCATTAAGCAAACAAACGCTGGAGTTAATATTTGATATGCCGATTTTCGCTAATTTTAGACACATTCCAAAATATGCTCCCATTTTTAACATTAATATATCCGTGAATTTTTAAGTTAAATACAACTGTAATATATCAAAATCTAAGTTAGTCCTTCCTCTATTTAATGCAAGTTATTTCTCTTTAAAAACTTTACTTGTTTAGAAGTTATTACGAATCAAACAGGAGTACTTTTTTTTGGGCCACCCGGTAGATATACTGCCTTATCAGTATTCTTTATATAAAGAATACTAATGAGGACACGACTACGATACATACTGCCTTATTAGTATTCTTTATATAAAGAATACTAATTAGGAGTGTTTTATCAGGTTTAAAGCCACCGCACGTGACATATTATGGTTGACATGATTTGTCAATAAGCTTATCAATTATTAATGAGTGTTTGAAGTAGTTATAATATGCGGTATGGATGTGTAAAATCTCAGTTATGTGACATGTAATTTGTTGTTCTGTTAGATCACTTATTATTAGAATGACAAAATTACTGGATGCTGATTGGTTGAGAGGAGTACAATTATTTCATTAATTGTACTGCAGTACAATTAATGATTTTCCCAAAACAAACAAAATGGCGGAAACGTATTTTAAACTCAAGCGTGAAATGAAATTGCCGTGGAGGAACTAGATGAAAATACGAACACAAGCACCAAATTTTGCTTTAACAAAAGAACTAAATGAAAATACAAACAAAAGCACCAAATTTTGGTTGAAAGTCTGGCAGGACTGGGCTTTGCCGAGAGAATATGATGCTGACATTGAGAAGTGCGTATCCAATTTTGTCATGCTAATATCATGCGATGTTGCTCGTACAATTAGGGATTAATAGTACTCGTGATGTTTGGAAATTTGCCAAATTGGACTCACCCCGGCGGCTCGTCCAATTTTGGCAAAATTTCCAAACATCACTCGTACTATTAATCCCTAATTGTACTTTCCATCGCATGCTTACCTATACTTATAGAGTTAGATGTATATTTATGTTATATTTATATATTGTAGTTAGTTTCGCGTGCACGGCCACATTAGCCTGCTTTCAGACGTTGTTATTCTTACGCCAAGCGACGAAAAACTAACGTCTGCTTACCCGAGCGCCAAACTGAATTCCGCTACGTCAACCAATCAGAATTTACCTTCCAAATTCTGGAAAGTGACGTCAGTTGATTTAGGAGCGGAATAAATATGAATAAATATTTTGAAAGCAGTCGTCGGTTGAATTTTGGTCAAAATTGCTCATTAATTGAATTTAAAGATATTGATACTTGTCCAGGTAATAAAATGCACCAATGATCAGATTTGGATATTGAAGATATTCGGTTATATTTAATAAAACGCGGACAGGACGGCATATTTATACTGTATGAATCTAGGCCAGACAGCATCAAACACCGAATATATTTCACTGAAATTTGATCTTTTGACTGTTTTCTGTTTGAGCAACCACTTCTGAATGTAAACTGTAAACACAACACAAACCCGAGAAACTTGTAATTGCGCCGAGACGAATTTTCCAATTCGCCCAAACTTCGAAACGTTTAACTTGGCTATACTTTTCTACATAACAACGAGAGCTTAATCTTTTAGACGTTTTTGTCGAAGTCATGGTATATAGGCCTAGGAAGTATCAAGAGCAACATTTGGACATATCCTGATATACTCGAGTTTCCCGATTGATTGTTTGTCATTGTTAACAAAAATTTAAATTCCGCCTACTGCATTGTTTGCAGAACAAGCGAGAAGATGATCACAATACAGTATTCTACGCAAACGTCGTGAAGTTCAACGCTATAGTTTGCAAAATATATCCACGCAAGTAAACAAATTTCAACCCAAGGACTTTGTGCAAGGGCTTTCCCCAGTAGTTAATAAGGCGGCTTCCAATTAGCCTGCTCACAAGCCTCTGCCTGACAACGGCCTGCGAGCAGGCTAGCTTCCAATTGGCTCTAACTCTTTTGAACCCTGCCAGATGATTGGCTCCTAAAACAAAGGGAATTGAATATGCAGCTTGGGTAAGCAGACGTTAGTTTTTGGTCGCTTGGCGTAAGAACAACAACGCCTGCGAGCAGGCTACGACCACATCAGCTATGCTCTAAATTTACCATCGTGTTTAAATAAATGCTTTTATTATTATTATTATTATCATTATTATTATCATTATCATTATTATTATTATTATTATTATTATTAATAGCCGAGCGGAATTCGGAACAATGGAAGTCTTCTATATGTATCTATATACCTGCACAGAAAACCGCAAAATGTTATCTGTAATATAGTCAAATAAGATAAAAAAATTAGCGAAACTAAGCTCGTATAGTATACCAAAACGTTTTGGGGCTTTGGTGCGTGACGGAAACCTGCTATATTTGACATGCTATATTTGACGTGATCCATGATTTATACCAGTAAAAAGTGATTAATAACTTCTTATTAACCGAGCGCGAGGTCTTTACCAGAGAAATAGAGACCTTAAGATTTTAGGACGGCAACGCGAGGACGACGGCCAAAACAAACTCCTTCAAATAAATGGTAGTAAAGATAATTCGTCGTATATTATCAATCGTATGAATTTAATACAGTCTTAGAAGTTGAAGACATGGATTTTATGGTTGGGAAGAGTTAATAATAATAATAATAATAATAATAATTAAAAATAATAATTAATAATAATAATAATAATTATAATAATAATAATAATTATAATAATAATAATAATTAGAATAAATTTAATACTTATATAGCCTTATTTACAATGTTTGATCAATAGCGCTTCACAAACGTTAAAAGTTCATAGAAAGAGAAATTGTTATATACAAGGTCATATTTTTAAAACTATAATGATATTATATATGATATCATATATATAGTCCCGCATTTCTAAGACTAATAATTAAAACTTTGTTGAAAAAGATACGTTTTGAGAGATTTTTTAAAAATTTCAAGAGAAGTATAATTGTACGTGTGCTAAGAGGAAGACTGTTCCATAATCGTGGTGCGGCTGCATAGAAGGATCTGCCACCCAAGGTGACAAGCATCTTTCTTTTTGGCCATTCTAGCAAAATACCGCTGTTAGATCGAAGACAATATGAAGACTTCGATTTAATTTCGATGAGGTCTTTGATGTATGAAGGCGCTTGGTTGTGAACTTGTGAATAGCTTTAAAAGTGAGCAGTAACATTTTAAATTGTATTCTTGCGTAGACTGGAAGCCAATGTAGTTCAAATAGAACGGGCGTAATATGAGAATGTTTCCGTATATCCATAACCAATCTGGCATTCTGGCTGTAGCATTTTGAACGCGCTGGAGTTTGGATATTTGTTTCTTGGGAAGACCGTAAAGTAGACTATTGCTATAGTCCAATTTGCTGGTGATAAATGCATGAACCAAGATCAATAAACAATCTCTTGATATGTACTTTTTGATACGTCTGATATTGTGAAGATGGAAAAAGCAGGCTTTGCACGTTTTCGTAATATGTTTCGACATCTGTAGGTTTGAGTCGAACCAGCAGCCAAGATTTTTTACATTTGAACTGGGGTGGTTCTCGGAGTTGCTTACTGATATATTGATCGGCTGCAATTTACTTAGTTGCTGGCGGGTGCCAATTAACATGAACTCGGTCTTGCCATCATTCATCAGAAGTTTATCATAGATCATCCAACACCTTATCTTCTCTACACAATTCTCCATTGCTCGCACAACATCTTGTTTCGATGTTCGAGCAGGTTTAAAGCTAATAGAGAGCTGCGTGTCGTCAGCATAGCCATGTGCATCTGGAAATTGATCTTCGATAACCTTGAACAGCTTAGACGGCATATGTAATGAAAAGAAGAGGGCCTAAACATGACCCTTGCGGAACCCCAGAGTCCAAGTCAAAGCGCTTGGAAAGCGTTCCATCAATAATAATAATAATTTTAATAATTTATAAAGCGCTTTTTACATATAATGATCAAAAGCGCTGTATTACAATGTAACTAATGTTAAAAGCGTAGTAAAATGTTGAAATGTTAACTTTAATATAAACTAAATACTAAAAGCTAGTTTAAAAAGATGAGTCTTAAGACAAGTTTTAAAAACGCTTATTGACGAAACGTCACGAATTTCTTTCGGAAGTTCATTCCAAAGTTTCGGAGCTGCCACAGTGAAAGATCGGTCGCCAAATGACCGTAAAAATTTACCCTTAGGGAACTGTAGCATTATGCTATCATTCGAGCTTAAAAGGTAGTTTCCTTCCACTTTGACAACAAGTAGATATACCATGTACTTTGGAGCCATTCCATGTAAAGCGTTAAAAGTAAGCAATAGCAGTTTAAAATGGATCCTGAACTTCACAGTGTAGTTCACGTAATATAGGTGTAATGTGATCGTATTTTCGTGTTGAAGTCACTAATCTTGCAGCGGCGTTTTGAACCCTCTGCAACTTAATCAATTCAGCATTAGGTAAACCATACAGGAGACCATTACAATAATCTAGTCGACTTGTAACAAAGGCATGTATAACAGTCAACAGATTTTCCCGAGATAAAAACTTGCTGATGCATTTGTTGTTGTGAAGCCAATAGAATGTGGCACCACATGTCTTTGTTATATGACATGACATTGATAAATTTGAATCAAGCCAAACTCCTAGATCACGAGCTACATCGGCATTCCCGACACGTACATGGCATGGGTTAAGTTTCTGCAGTTGTTGCTTAGATCCAATTATTAGCAGTTCAGTTTTACCGTCATTTAGTTTAAATTTATCTTGAATCATCCATTTCCGAAGATCGTTGACACAGCTTTCCATTACCGAGATCGCTTCACATTGATCGCATGCGTAGTCAGGTTTGAATGACACATACAACTGAGTGTCATCAGCAAAACCATGTGAATCTGGCGAGTGATTGTTAATAATATTGAACAGTTTGGAGGCATATAATATAAAAAGAAGAGGCCCCAAACACGAACCCTGCGGGACACCAAAGTTCAAATCAGATGAATCAGAAAGGGTACCATTTAGCATAACACGTTGACTTCGACCAGACAAGTAGGAAGAAAACCAACTGAGAACTTTTCCATGTATTCCAAATTTTGACCTTAACCGTTCCAGCAAAATTCCATGATCAATTGTGTCAAAAGCGGAACTTAGATCCAGAAGAACCAAGAGAGTGACACGTTGACTGTTCATGCTTAACAAAATATCATTGAGTACTTTGAGTAACGCAGTCTCTGTGGAGTGATACCGCCGGTAAGCAGATTGCAAAAGTGGATATAAAAGCCACATCGAAGAATATGATCGTGCGTTTGATTATATACTGCTCGTTCAATAAGCTTTGAAATATATGCTAAATTACTGATGGGACGAAGATTTTCAAAAGCGGACTCCAACCCAGACTTTTTTAATATGGGAAGAATGATAGCTTCCTTCCAGTCTCTAGGAAAGTAGGACTTCAATGATCTGGTTTCTTGCACTTCACTTGGTGGTATTAATATTTGAATGCTGTTCTTAGGGTTTGTAATCCAAGTGGGTATATATATACATTTTAAGACCTGACCAGGAACGACTGCGAAAAATGCAGCACAAGGTCCTCTGGTAGGAATTGAACCAGATCATTGAAGTCCACCTTATCTCAACCCGCACACCCGATCACCTATATATACATGAACTTACGGTTACAGCTCAACAGCTGGCCTCTGTAGCTCAGTTGGTTAGAGCGCTGCACCGGAATCGCAGGGCCGTGAGTTCAATTCCTACCAGAGGACCTTGTGCTGCATTTTTCGCAGTCGTTCCTGGTCAGGTCTTAAAATGTATATATATACCCACTTGGATTACAAACCCTAAGAACAGCATTCTAGGAAAGTACCCAGTTTCAAGTGAAATATTGATTATTTTTGTAATCACAGGAAGTAACAGATCCAGACATTTCACCAAGAAATCTGTTGGTACTGGATCAAGGTAACAGGATTTTTTGTGTGAGTCCACAACAAGCTTTCTAACATCATCCTCAGACAAGGGCTCGAACGCATCAAAATGCGATACATCACCCGGATACTCCTCGTTGTCATCACTTGGAGGATCTACGTGACCATCATTATTTGAAGAAATCTCGTTGTTTATCTCAGAGTGGATATTAGAGATTTCTGAACAAAATATTTGCCAAGTTCGTTAACGAGAGCTGTTTCATTACGTCCGGGGAAACTTATTGCATTTTTTTCAACTAGCTTTCCTTTGATAGCTTTGAATAGAGACCCTTGGTTATTGCTGTTTTCTTTGACAAAGTCAGAGAAAAAGGAGCATTTTGCTTTCCTCATTAATTGAGTACAATGGTTTTTCAATGATTTAAATTTATTAAAATCTGCCGTCTTTTTTGTAGTCCGCCATTTCTGCTCAGCTTTCCTTCTTTCCTTCTTTGCAAGTTTGATTTCCTCATCATACCATGGTACCATAGCCCTAGAGGTAACAATTCTCCTCTTCAGCGGAGCGTGGCGATCCAAAACAGAAGATAACGTATTATTATAGCAGCTTACCAAGGAATCAAGTTGTGTAGGAGCATCCGAGCATAGTTTTGATTCACCCAGGTCTTTCATAAAACTAGTAATATTTATAGATTTCAATGATCTGTAAGTTACACATTTCTTTGAAGGAAGTGGTTTGGAAGAATTAAGCCCAAATGAGATCGCCATGTAATCAGAGAAAAGGTGGTCCGGACGACTGGGTGATCCCAAAATAGAGTCCACCTCTCGAGTAATTACCAGGTCAAGAGTGTTTCCAGAAACATGTGTAGAAAATTCGACATGTTGCTGTAAACCCATGGACAATAGCAGATCGACAAACTTCAGAATATCACCATCTGTTTTTGAATTCACATGAATATTGAAATCACCGGTGATAATAAGTGAATCCGTCGACATTATAATAGTCTCCAAGTACTGCGAAAATTCAACAATAAATGCATTCACGGTTACCGGGTGATTTGTAGAATATGGTGGTCTATAAATGACGACAAAAAGTACACGAAAGGATCCAGAAACGATCTTCCACTCAGAGTATTCAAAGGAATTTAAGACATCAGCTGCAAGCTTGGTTGTACACAGAGTATCACGAAAAACTATCGCTGTTCCTCCTCCAATTCTGTCAGGACGTGGATGACCGCAGAGTTTATAACCAGGTGGGGTAGCCTCATTTTTTGCAATAGAAACTTGTTGACTCCTGTTGTTCAAATACGACTTGAACCAATCCAGAGCTTTGCCTTGAAGGCCAACTTTCTCGTTAAGACGATCGATTAAAATGTTGTGATTAACAGTATCGAAGGCCGCACTTAGATCTAGTAGAACCAACAGAGTAACTTCTTGCGAATTCATCTTCAATAAAATGTCATTTGTAATTTTAAGAAGTGCAGTTACCTTGTTGTGGAACTGTCTATAGGATGATTGTGAGTCGGGATAGAGTGAGTGGGCCATCATATGCGTCGCGTCTGCGCATGCGTCTGGTTGAACACTGCTTTCTCAGTTAATTTGGAAACGTTAATTTAAACTGTAAATTACTAATGGGTCTATAGTTCTTAAAAAGGGGATCGAGTCCGAGCTTTTTCAATAGCTGGTGAACAAGAGCGTTTTTCCAAGCATCAGGAAACGTTCCCGATTCCAATGACAAATTAATGATCTTGTAATTATTGGTAACAACACTCAATGCAGTCAATTACCAAAGGCGTTGGCATGGGATCAAGATTACAACCTTTTTTCTTACAGCCTTTGACAAGTTTCAGGACTTCTTCCGTAAGTGTGGTGAAATTGTGTAAAGGAGTGATTGTTTCAGAAGCATTATCAGCAACGAAATCTGGTAATCGTTGCACCATATCATTAAGCTTTGTTTGAATGTCTTGGGTTTTTGCAACAAAATAGTTTCCCATTTGATCGGCAAATCTAGGCTTATCAACAAATGGAGGAAAAACTGTCCTCTTGTCTCCTTATTAAGCAATTTCTTTGCGGCAGTAAATAGCGGATTCTGTTGATTGGAGTTATTATCCTCAATGAAATTTTGATAAAAATTTGTCAAGACAAATCATCATTTAAGAACAATTAATGTGTGTATGGAACATGGGAATTTTCGAGACAAAAAAGAACAAAGAAATAATCCATTCCTCTTGCTCTCCGGAGCACTATAAAATTATTCAACGATCCCTTTGACAGCAATCAAATTATAAAATTTTGATTTGTCTTGTTCTTCTTGATTTTGTAACTTTTCAACTAATTTCAAGTCTTCCGTGCAGCCAGTACGTCGCCATTTTCTCACGTCTTTCCTCTTCTCACTGCTGTCTTAATATCCTCGTTAAACCATGAAACTAGTGGTCTTGGTTTTATAACTTTTGTGCATACAGATGCATGCCGATCTAGTGCCTGAGACAAAGTTTTGTTATAGCATTCTACAAGTTTATTAAGTGTATCTGGGCTATTTGAACGGAGCTCTGATGACATAAGCTCTTCTCGTAGCTTTATCTTATCGATTGCTTTGATTTTCCTGTACGAGATTTGTTCCCAGCATTAGATCGCATAAGACTGTAATGTGATCTGAGAATAAGTAATCTGTGATGGGACTATTTGAAAGCAAGGAGTCGGAGCACCGCGTAATTATCAGATGAAGGGTATGGCCAGATTTGTGCGTGGGCCATGGACGATAATAGATCCAAAAATTGAATAGCGTTGGAATCACTTGGGATGTTAACATGAATATTAAAATCTCCGACAATTAGCAATGGTTCAGAGGACATGATCACTGATTTTAAATAGGCAGAGAATTCTTCAAAGAATACACCTACACCAATGGGATGAGCAGTGGAATAGGGAATGTGATATACGATAATTATCCTCAATTTACTGGAGCAATACTGTTCGTTCAGAAAATTCAAAAGACTTACGTTTTCCACCGTCGACTTTGTTTACATTGATATTATCTCTAAATAACAATGCAGTTCCACCCCTAATTCGTCCAATACGCGGATGATCAAGCAATTTGTACCCAGGCAACTTGTATCCACCCATGAGCAACCTGTATCCAGGCAACTTGTATCCACCCAGCAACCTGTATCCAGGCAACCTGTATCCATCCACAAGCAATTTGTATCCACCCAGTTTGAAGTTGCACTTTGTTCGGCTTGAAATGTAGCCGTTGTATCAAGACGTGAAAATCTGCGATTCGGCGTTGTAAATAGAGCAAGGACAATGTCTAAATTATTCATATATTGTAATTATTCAATTCTTTTTCAATAATTTATTGTATTCAATATATTGGTAGCCGTTGCCGTCTCGTTGCCGTCCTAAAATCGTAAGGTCTCTAATATCGGACCGACGTCGACGTGTTTTTTGTACAGACCGAGCCCGTAGGGCGAGGTTTGTACAAAAAGACCGATCGCGAGGTCCGATTTTTCTCTGTAAAGACCGAGCAAGTGAGGTTAATAAAAAGTTTATTATGGCATTTATAGGCATTTATACTCGAAACAAACAAGAAATGCATGATTTGAAATGCATAATAGTGGTACACATTTGGTCGAAGAAAACAAAAATTACCGATCTATTCCTTCCTTTCCACTTAAAACCATTCGCAGATATCTTATTTAAAATAACAAATTAAATTATAATTTTCAAATTTTCAATTAGTTTTGCTATTTTGTTTTAAAATGCATGCGTTTGTTTTTACGTAATGGATCGGCGGTCCATTACGGGAAAATAATGACCGTTAAAAGTGCTTCTCGACCAATCACAGTCCGCCATGTCACCGGAAGTGATGCTTGCCATATAATAATTAATCTTAATTGTTTTCCATACTTAGGGTACGAGACGAAATACGAATGACAATTGCTGCTTATCAAACGTTGTATGAAAGCAGGTATGTTTTAAGTTCTTTGTAGGTTTGCATGGCGATAAAAGATATAATACTATTGACACTATTTTTTGTGGCAACACCACGTAAATTTATTACTGCAAAGCTTTTGATCCGTAAGCCCGGATCTTCATCAGTGCTAATAATATGTCTAGGTATGTCTTTTTGAAAATTTACGTGGATCACTAACTGCAATGTATACAGTAAGGTAAAGTAAAGTCGTGGGAGCGAATCCTCCTTTATTGCAACTGAGTACTGAATTAGCCTTTCTCTCAGCCAATTTTCCCGCCACGTCTCCGCACCATTGAACTTATAAGTAAACTGGAAGGCTAATTCAGGGGGGGGGGGTTGAAGCCAGTGCATTTTAGTTTTTTTTGTGTTATGACTGAGCAGAAATACTCAACACTGAACGTTGTGCTGCATATGAAACTGAAGCTATTGAAAAACGCTATTTGGTGTAGAAATTTCAAGACTTTAGCTAAAAGGGAAACATTTAGAAACTACAAAAATAATTGCCGATAATTTGCCATTTTTTGGCCGAATGGCAGTTGTTTTTGTATTTTTAAAATATTTTTCTTTTGAAATTTTCTCGCCGACTAGAAATTTTCAATAGCTTCAGTTTGATATACTTGGGATCAAGTATTTCTGCTCATAACTCAGAAAAACTATTTTGGCTTCAGCAAATCTTAGGCCTTCATCATGGCAGTTAGCCTTCCAGTTTATTTATAGTCAATGCTCCGCACCACGAAATGCGACATTTTAGTATTATAGTTGTTTGTATATACTGGTATAAATTTACAGTTACAACTTTTAAAAGTCGCTTTTCACGTTGTTTGAATTGTCTAGAATCTTTCACGGGGGCAGACAGTACCCCCGAAATGGCGGATTTTGGCCTTCGTGAGAAAGGCTAATTGACTATTATAATTGCAATAGATGCAGCGTTATCAATAGGACGCCCCCATGCAATTGGCAGCCAGCATCTGCATGACACAAATAATGTGGAAACGCTGCGGTCAAACGTCAGCGTCTTGACCTGGTTGTACTCGAAAGACTGGAGATATAGTACTAGAGAGTTTAAGCTTCGCGTTATACGGCAAACAGGCTTTCTTGCCATCCTACTTTTCCTACTTTTTCCTACTTTTCTTCAACTTTCCTACTTTTCCTATTTTATATTAAAAATTGCTTGATTTTCCTACTTTTTCTCATAAAATCCTACTTTTTTAAGACAGCTTGGGGAATTAGTATGTTATAGCTCTCGTAATTAGATCTATAGGACTCGTAATTTTTTGAAATCCGGAAATGAAACTTTGTAATATTTGTTGAGGCATATTGATTACATGAATGGCTATAGTATATTGAATTTATATTCAAATTTCGTATGCAAAGTGCAAGTACCGTTCAATGTGCATTACAACTTTTCTCTTTTGAATCCTATATAAATAATCAGTGCACGATCATGTCGTGAACTTGTGGTTAGAGCTCGATAAGTGGTTCTGTAGCTCAGTTGGTTAGAGCGCTGCACCGGAATCGCAGGTTCGATTCCTGCCAGGGACCTATAGTTGCATTTTTCGCAGCAGTTCCTGGTTGGGTCTAACAAATATATATAAATTTACACTCCATAACTTTCATCAATACGGTATCCTTCAACAAAGTACAAATTGGACTGCAATCGTTTTGGTTAAGAAAAATATTATAAAAACACGTTGTCGAATTGTCTTTTTACCTTTTGCTTTGTTTTCTGTGGTATTTACTTCAATATTATCGTGTTTGTTTAAAACCACTCACCAATACTTAAACAGTAAATAGATGAGATTGTTGATGGGCTTCAGATTGGTATTTAACATATATAACGCATTTTTTCTATTACGTTGTAGTGTTGCCTTTGGTATGCGAAAGGCCTTGCAAGCTGAGCAAGGCAAAGCTGACATGGAGCAAAAGGTAAGTGGCAGTCAAAATACCCAATAGGTATAATAAGTCCTTTTTATTTTTGCTAAGCAGTGTATAGTGTATCGCGCCGAGATACGAAATATTACCAGGAAAAACAACAGTCTACTCGCTATAATATACATAAAAATATTACTCGACTGTGATTGGTTGATTTCAGTGTAGTTAATCTTAAAGGTGATGTAAAGTCCGTAATGTAAGCAAATGCTTTGTTTACATTTTGAACTCAGTGCTACAGTTGTAAAATATGATTAGATATATATTGGCAAAAGTGACAAAATATTTATTAACAAGTTTTAACATGATATTTACAAAATTAGCTTTCTTTGTAGTGTAAAGTTTCACTTTACACAATATGTAAAGTTTCACTTTACACAATTGTGTAAAGTTTCACTTTATACTATTGTGATGACTGGCGAAAATTCACACGAATCAGTAAAATCTTTTATTGCCTCCATTGCTGAAGAGTTACAAAATATTTAAATATTAATTATATAGATAGAATATAAGAAAGTTGTCGTTAAGCTAATTTACATATCAGTTACACAATATCGACTACAGTTAATGAAAACCTCTCACGCAAAGAGTTCAAAGAGTGAATATTGCATGCAAAAAGAAATGTACTCAGCGCATCGTAACCAAAAGTCAGCTTTCAGACTGTCCATAATTATAGCTAAGTTTGCCGGCTTACCACCAGTACCATTATATCTTCAGATAAGTTATCTGTGTTGCGGAAACATTGTTTCCTGCTAATGTTTCGCCATGTTTCCCAGAGTGGGCACTAGCAAACGTTGGTGAGAAACATAAGTAAACATCAAATGTTTCTGAATTTTCTAGGAAACATTTTTGCTTCTCGGGAAGCAAATTTTGTTTCCGCAACAATGTTTCCACGGGTGGGCAAACAGGGAAACATTTGAGGAAACATCGAGAATCACAAATGTTTCCACAACAATGTTTCCTGGTTTACCCAGGGCTTTAGTGGGGTCAACCATGGGTTTGGTCTTCAGTTTTGAGCGCAGTTTACACGTACATGTTCTTTTGTCTGCTAAGAATCACGTTTTTAGAAGATAAATATCTGATTTCAAATTTATTCCAAGGGAAACATAATAGCGAACTTAAGCAAAGCTTAATCTAGTACGGGATCGACGTGTCAAGAAACCGCCTTAAATTTTACACTTTTATAATTATAAAGAACCACCCTTATTAAGAACTTCAACAAAGCAGAACGAAAGTGTAACGAGAACGGCCAACAACATATTAATGCAAGAAAACGAGCAGAAATTAATAATTGAAATTTCACGGACGTTTTTAAAATTCAGACGTCGCCGTAGCTCTGTTTTACAACGGCGAAATACAGAATATCAGTCTTGTATACAACGCTTACATTTCAAGCTGGGACAACTGCTATTTTAAATTGAGTCCTGAACTTTACTCAATCATAAACCCTGTGTTAATTTTTATCCTTAAACTGTATTATTTTCATACGATGGATAATAGACGACAAGCTTTCTTCCGCAATCATTTGGTTCAGCGAGTTTGTTTGCCGCCGCCGTCGCGTTCACGTCCTACATGCTTAAGGTCGCTAATGTTTTGGGGAGGGGGCAGAATTTGCCTAGCACTTTTGGACGGGTAGATTGCTAATCCTGGCTAGATCCCTGGTAGAGATTGCACTCATTCTTGCTGTTTATAGCCATTGCTTGCTCATCATTTAACGTTGGTTTTCTGAACGCTTTGTACGTACTCTACTTGGAACAGGCTTTTAGCCAGGATCCTAAAAGAGGGCGTCCAATTTTGGTATAATGATACATCTACAGTAAGGGGGGGGGGGAGGTTCGAGAAAACGTTCCTCTGGAAAATCTTTGAAGTTGACGTTACTTGATGTCAGTTTCTGTTCCAAGCTTGTTCGAAATTTTTCAAACACACTTGGCTTTGTGAGTTTGTGCCGCTATACTTCTTTACTTATGACATTTTCATTCAGCCAGGTACACCATCAAATTGATCAAAATGTCAAATGTATAATAATAATGAGAATTGAAGCTATTTCGTTTCAGATATATTAATATACTTAGGGAAATAATTGAAAATAATTTACTTATTCCCCCAGAATTTGGGCGTCCATTTTTCGTTCTAGGGGCGTCCCAGGACGCCTGGACGCCCTTCTGGCTAAAACCGACTCTGCGTTTAGATCGATGAGCTGGAAAATGACAAAAAAGAGTTGGAACGCCAAGTGAATGAGCTGAAAGCAAAATGTGACGCGATTGAGAAACGCGAAGCAGAACGTCGTACCATTGAAGAAAAGAAACATGCCGAGGAAATTCAATTCTTAAAACGGACTAATCAACAGTTGAAGGTACAGTATTCCCTTGTTAATAGACAATTCCCAGTAGAGACTAATTTTTTATCTTGGCAAAAAAGTATATTCCCGGAAAGAGCATACTAAAATTAGTAAAATTGCAAAGTTTGGTTACGAAATGTTGTAAAATGCGGAAAATATAGCCTTGCAAATTGATACCACATTTGGGCCGAAAATGGTAGCAATTTCCGCACGCAATACAAAAGTATACAAAATTTGCAAACTTTGCAAGGCTATATTTTCGTCATTTTACAACATTTCGCAATCAAACTTTGCAGTTTTACTCATTTTAATGTGCTCGTTCTAGCTGTGGTGATTTATTTGCATCTCCTTGCCTAGTTTTTAATTAGTTCATAATGGAATTGTCCATTCCTTTCATTCTTATATTCGTACTGTACATAGTCTGTCAAGATATGATGATCTAGCAAACTTCAAAGCCACAAAATAGAAGACCTGTGCATTTGATGTTGAACTGTATCACACCAAGCACAAATCCTTTTACGCCGTAGGATGAGCATCCAAAAGATGCAATTCCGTTGCACCCCTCGTGGAACTACGTAATTTTCGCATGAATCAATAGATAAAAACTTACTTTATCAGAATTCGTTGCTCCCCAAGCGAAACAGGTGCACAATACCAGCAAACATTGAAAATCACGAACTGATTTCCACGACAATGCCCTTACGTTTGGCCAAGGCTTTATTTTAGGGAAATACTTAATTTGTTCCTTGATCGTGTGAATTGTATGTATGTATTTATATATTCTCCGTCCTGTTTGATCAGGTAGGTTTTTACCTCGCACAAATTTGTTATTGAATTAGCATGTTAAAAATTAGAATTAAACGTTAAAACGGTGTTTTGAAACAATATGGCCAATGAATTGAAGTGATTTAGCATATGAGCAAGCAAAATGTACAATGTGTTTAAACAATATTTAAATTGTGTGTATTTATCCGTTAATATTACAAGGTTTGATCTCTATTCCGTGGATTTTATTTTGTTGTCTTTACGGGAGAAATTTGGGAAAACCCACAGGGAAAATCCATTTTTCCCGTCTGTCACCTCAGCTATCCCTATTGGGCGATTACTTCATTATACGGAAATCGAATAAGCTCAATATTTGACCGTGCACAAATTAACATAAACTCAGACAGAAACAGAGCTCAATGGCGTAAGCCCGCACACGATGAAATAAGTAAGCATAAACACAAGGAAAACAAACTTTTCCTTTTTTTGCGCTCATGCTTATTCTATTCTTATTTCACCTGTGATAAATACATTTGGTACTTGTTTCATACGTGCATGTGAACTTTCTTGTCCTTGTGCTTATTTCATCGTGTGAACCAGGCTTCAGTTTGCAGACTATTAACATATCTTGATATACAGGGTGTATAACAAAAAACCTGAACATATTTGAAATTGCTCTCAATTTCGCAAAACAGCTATTAGTATCCAGTTTTTTATGTATATAGCCTCTTTGGGTACTTACAATGTAGAATAATGAAAAACAATTCTCGAACTCAAATTTTGTGAACCAGGGGGGGGTGTCTTTTCCAACAAACTAAAAATGGCTTACGCACGAATTTAAAAGCTTTACCGCCATTTGCAATTGAGCGTGGCACCGTGCATTTTTTTCGAGTTGTTTTAGCATTGAAATTAACATGTAACTATGGGCGGAGCGACGTGTTACTAAGGCGGCTCAAAATGTTTCTTTATCTACTATAAGCCGTGCGATTCGATTCGAATAACTCATTTTACTTCTGAACGATTCACAAACAACATTTTATATACGCAATTCTTCATAGATTACATGCTTGCCCAAGATCCGAACCACGTAAAGTTTTTCAATGAATCAGGGATCAGACAAACAAACTATCATTTTGTATAGAATTGTACTAGCAGCGAACATAAATTGGTTAGTCAAAACATAATTTGGAACGTCGAATATTTACGCTAATGGGCACTTAGTAGACAAACAAAATTGGTTTTAAAGCGACCAAACTTAGTAACATGAAATCAACAACATTAAATATACAGTAGACACCTGCACTATTACAGTAACCGACATAATAGTCGATACTAAAGTGACAAAAAGTTTATATTTCTAATTCCAAAGTAAAAATATTTTTTACTGGCAGCTTCAGGTAAAGCGAAAAGTACAAGGTGTGTATTATTTCGCACAAATAAACTGTAAACAAACCATCAAACTAAAGTGTTTGTCTGAGTCTTGGCGGGGGGTCAAATTTAATAAGCCGCCTTAGTAACACGTCGCTCCGCCCATAGTTACATGTTAATTTCATGCTAAGACAACTCGAAAAAAATGCACGGTGCACGCTCAATTGCAAATGGCGGTAATCATAGTTTGAGTTGATAGATGCAAAATTGGTTGGGTTTTTAATTACTGTACAAAATTTCAGACCATTTGCAAATTAGGTAAAGGCATTAATTAAGCATGCGAAAGGCTGATTGTTTAGGAAAAAATGAATAGCTAAAGAGCTTAAACTAAAGCAAATTGTCTGAAATTTTGTACAGTGATTAAAATCTCAACCAATTTTCCATCTATTAACTCAAAATATGATTAGAGCTTTCAAATTTTGTGCGGAAGCCATTTTTAGTTTGTTGGAAAAGACACACCCCCTGGTTCACAAAATTTGAGTTCGAGAAATTTTTTTCATTCTACATTATAAGTACCCAAAGAAGCTATATATACATAAAAAACTGGATACTAATAGCCGTTTTGCGAAATTGAGAGCAAATTCATATCTGTTCAGTTTTTTTTTTATACACCCTGTAGACTATGCTATCCGCTATCAGGACCGAGAAAATCTTAACTACAATCTCGGACAAAACTAGTTCATGAGACGCAGAGTAATATTCAAGCTAAAAGTTTATCCTGTTGTATGCATGACAAAATTACTTAATGTTGTATGCTATTTATCATTTATAGACCCGGAGGGAGGGGGATTCCAGAAAATATTACCCGAAGTGATGATAAGCCTCGAGGGAGATATCATTGCACACGAGGGTAATATTTCGACGAATCCCCCGAGCGGAGGGTCTATAAATGAGTGAATATCACATGCACTTCTGTGATTTCATTAATACTTCGAAACCAAGTGTAATTTCCTATTATGTAATTTTAGTAAATCTATACGAGTACTCAATGACAAGAAACATTGCATTATTGTATTCACACAGCAGTATACGCGCCTTTGTGATTCATTTTATAAGTGATTTTCTGACATTAACAATATTTCTCGGACCGTGTAATTTCCTATATAATAATTGTACGCCTCTCCACCAATTAAATTGCAGTAATTTTTTCATGTTTATAATAAATAAGGTGAATTTGAGATATTGAAATAGAACATGAAGAAGTCGTAATCATATATTCCTGATCAAGATCAGACTGAAGGCAGGCGAGGTCTCGAGTGTAATTTTTATGTTTATCTGTTTTAGACTCAACTTGAAGGAATCATTGCGCCAACAAAGAAATGAAACATCCTTCTTTGGATACAGAACATAATTTTGTTACAAATGTATAATATCTAGTCGAAACCTTAAAATCGCGCATTAGTTGTTCGTTGTTCGTGTATATTTTTTGGAATAACGTTAATTGAAATATAAGTTCACATGATCTCCACACGCGCATTGGCAATGAATAGGGAGCTGTCCGAGCTGCCTCGTAAGTTCTCTCACTTTGGAGTGTATACACGTAGGAGATTGAGGGGAGGCCATTGAGTATTAATTAAAGGTGTGCAAATCTGATTTGTTCGGATTTCGGAACAAAAAATTTTTTTTCGGATTGGATCGGATTGATTAAGTTGTTTCGTAGTCGGGTCGACTTCGTTATTCGAAATAAAATGAATTATTTATATTTACAAACTCATCAGACCATATTCTTTTGTATTTCGTCGGTTTTTAACTCCTCCGTAATAACCTTCTATCTAAAAGCAGGCGGTGGTATTTGATTTCTCCGGGGGAAATACGGGGTTGAAGGTTATTACGGAAAAATAACAACCGGGTAGCAGGTTATTACGGGAAAATAATAACCTGGTAGCAGGATATTACGCAAAAATAATAACCTGCTAGTCTGCTACCAGGTTATTATTTTTCCGTAATAACCTGCTACCAGGTTATTATTTTTCCGTAATAACCTGCTACCCGGTTTATTACGAAAAAATAATAACCAGTTACCTGGTTTTACATTTTCAATTCAAGACCTGGCATGAGTCTTGAATTCTTGCAATTGCCGCGACTAATATTTAAAACAACCGACCCCATTCCATCATCACCCTTCTCTATTGGCGCGCTACTTTCCGCCGTTGCACCCTTCTCTGACGTGATATACCTTGCACGATTTTCGAGACATTTGCATGCTGCTCCTCTGTTTCTCGCTTATAACAATCGAGAGCCTCGGAACGATGCCCAGTAACCCCCTTTATCAGCTTATCATCAACGCCTTCACGAAATAACCTCGACACGGCTGTGGCGCGCAATGAATGATTAGTAAAGTGCCCATTTACACCCGCTTTCTCCATTATTCACTTAACCATACCTTGTAACTTCTATTGCAAAATTCTATTGCAAAATATAAATAAATTCAAATATTAATCGCTATGATTAATGCTTGTTACTAACTTTTAAACAAAACTTAGCTAAGACAATTTTCACCTTTTCTATCCAACGTGCTTTTCCCAGGTGCATTACATCGCCGCTCACTGACACTGTCTATCTGATTTGGCCTTTCCAGTGAAATTCTCCGCTCTGCAAACAAATCCAATGACTGGGAAAGTATTCCATCCAGCCCATCGTCTTCCAAATCTAGACAGGCGCAATCCCAATCATTGGTCTTTTCAACTAAAATCTCGCTTTCTCGAACCAGACATCCTCACTCCACAAATATCAATTAAGTAATAAAAAGGTAGCTGTTGAAAAAAAAAACAGCCCAGGAATGCGCATACAAAACACAAATATGGTGTGAAAAATAATAGTACCACAACAATGAACTTGTAACTATCTTAATAGTTTTCTTTGTTCATAAACACCATAATGTGCATTAAGTCGGATAATACCCTCGCTCTCGGTATTATTAAAAATAATGACCTCGCGCTACGCGCTCGGTCATTATTTTTAATAATACCTCGAGCTTGGGCATCATCCTATACAGAATTCTTTATCAAACTCGGATCGGATTCGTTATATAAACACATGGAAATTAGAGGTTATGATATATAATTGTCAAGCGATTTCTATATTTTATTGCTAGTTTTTTAAAGTACTAAAACTCGGATAAGGTTAATAAATTTAAGCTATATTAAAGCACACCGGTTGCTATGTGTTGTTAG